AAGCAGGCGGTCATCAATGGGGAGCGGGACAAAAGTAAAGACTGGGACCTCCCCACCCTCCCCCTTCTCTCTCCCACCTGGCCAAGGCTGCGTCCAAGCCGTCGCCTTTCCGGCCCCTCATGACCTTCTTCCCCTGCAGGTCGTAGCCCATGTGCTCGTACTCGTCGTACCAATGCAAGGGCACCCTCCCAATCGCATTCCGGACCCTGCCTTCCCCTTCCCCTTCGTCGTCGCTCGACAAGTCGTCCGCGTGCATGGCCGCAGCCACCGCCAAGCGCCCACTGGCCCGCTCCACCTCGATTTCCTCCGCCCTCTTCCTCCCCGTGGAAGTCCCTTCTACCCCCTTGGGAATTCCTTGCCGCAGGAGCGCCCGGAGGGGGGCTTGGGACGCTGCGGGTTGCCAACGTCGGGGCGTGGCCTCCTCCACGCGCAAGGCTTCGTCCCGTTCTCTGTCTCCCTCGTCGCTGCTCTCCAGGTATTCGACGTCGTCGTCCGTGTCCCCGTCTTCCCCCCCCGAGGCTTCCGCTTGGGCCTCCAGGACCTCGCTCTCGTCGCTTGAGGAGCCTTGGTCTTCAAATTCCTCCTCCTCCTCAGAATCCAAGACGCTGTCTTCCTCATCGCCGTCTGCCACTCCTTCTTCCTCCTCGGATTCCCCTACCGTGCCGTCTTCCATCTCTTCCCCATCGCTTTCCCCCGTACCCGCCCCGTCGCTGCTACTTTCGTCGTCCACGCTTGGCAGTTCCTCCTCCTCTTCTTCCTCCGCTTCCTTCCTGTCTGCAGGAGGCGGAGGGGAAGTTTTATCGTTCCTGGCACGGCCATTCTCTGCTTTCTCTTCGGTGACACCTTTCGCCGCAAGCAGCTTGGTGGCTCGGGGTCTCCCAGCCATCTCCTGCAGGTGCTGAGGGTGACGCAAGCCTCCTGTGGCCATGGGCAAAGGGACGCCGGGAGGGGACATTCAAATGATTGTTAACTTATTTATGATACCAGTGGAATTTTTCAGCAACCTGATGAGGGGCACGAATGCTACTA